ACTGCTACTGACTGCTACTGACTGCTACTGACTGCTACTGACTGCTACTTACTGCTACTTACTCCTACTCACTACTACTCACTACTACTCACTACTACTACTACTACTACCACTACCACTACTACTACTACTACTACTACTACGACTTCTTCTACTACTTCTGCTACTACTACTACTACTACTACTACCACCTTCTTCACTTCACTGCGCCTTCGGAGCTCCATCTCTGCCGCACCTTGGTGAAACCTAGCTCCACGGCGAGGCACAAGCATGCACTTACAATGGAACAAGACCTCAGTCGGCCGTGATCCACCTGGCCGCGCTGGCGCCAACGGAGCGCCAGACAGGGTGCTTCACACCGTGCCTGGGGATCCAGCGCACCCGACATAGTGTGAATCGGATGCCGCACGAGAACACTGCACCTAGAGTGAGATCGGAAAATACAAACCAGAATTGAACAGCCAAGATGCCCATCAGCACGCAAAAGTACGGAAAATCAAACTGCCTCACTGCCCGCTCAAAAGGCGATGGTCATGACTCAATGCTGGGTTCACCAAGCAATTCTTGGATCTGTCTTTCAAGTGCACCGCGAGGAGCTGGGCCATCTTTGCGCAGCCCTCCGCTTTTTTCGATGCCTTCCTGCAAGACAGTCAACACATCACTCAAGGCACCAGGGGCGACCGAGAGCTGGAGACGAGTCTTGGTCTGGTCATACACTTTTGACAATCGACAGTAGAGGACCTGATCACTCAGCACCATGGGATCCGTGACAGAATCACAATGTTGCTTCAGCATGGCACGCTTCTCCTCAAACAGAGCTTCGTCTTTCAATGCGGCCTGGGCCAAAGCAGCCCATACCCACGAAGACGGCTGTCCCAAGGTGTGATTCTTCCCCGCAGCGCGAGCTCTCTGCGCATAGGTCTGGCCGGCGGCCGACGCGGCCTGAGCATACACACCATCCTTGGCCAGGATGTAGGTAACAAAGACAGCACTCTCCAGGTTGCGGCAGGTCTGCGCAGTCTTCAACGTCAGACGAGCCACTGCAGTCAAGAGCTGCTCGTTGTCCTTGGAGCTGTGGCCGGTGCGAGGCCACACCTGCCGTGCATCTCCTGCACCATGGGGGACAGCACCAAACCAAGAGTCCATGGCTGAAGGTTCAGTCTCTACTTGCCAACTATTGTTGAGCCGCAATGAGGTACTGGTGCAAAACATGTTTGCCAGCAGGGACGTGGCCCACCACATGTGTCTGCAAGGTTTCCAAATCGACAGCTTCATGTGGACAAACTGGACAGTGAAAGGTTGGAGGTGGATGCAACTGCTCCACCATGCCCGCTGCATTTCCCCCGCGCCGTGGGCATCGCCGTTTTTTGACACGGGCATGAGCATGACGTTTGGCAATCTCAATGGAGGCAAAGATTCGACGGCACCACGGGCACTGATTGCAAACCACAATTTGTCGCACAGTGATGCGCACGCCATGAAGGCGATGTCTGTGTGTGTGGAAAGGGCCGTGGTTGACTGCGTAGTGTAGCCACACTGGGCCCCATCAGCCCCGATCCAGTCACAGCGAAGCAGAGCCGCCTCCTCATCTGCATTCTCTGCGTCAGCCGCAGGCGCATGCCCAATCGCTGCCAACTCCTCTCTGTATTTGCGCGCCAGCCAGGTCCTGATAGGAAGCTTGACAAACAAATCTTTGCAAGGATGATAAAAAATCGACAGTGGCTGGTCAGCCACCAAATTAGGCTCACCCAACTTGTCCAGATCTTCCACCAGTTCCCGCAACCACGGGTTGGCGAGAGCAGTGATTCTCCCATCCACCCCAATAGCGGGTCCATCTTCCCGGCCATAATGCCCAAACACTGTGGCCAGTAGCGACACATAGTCGTCGGGGTGCCGGGCGATGTTTTGCCACCAAAGAAGACGGCGGGCTCTGCGTTCCCAAGCAGGTGGAAAGATTTGCAAATTTGCAAAAACCTCCGAGTTTGACAAGCTGCCATGGTGGCCGTGAACATCCTCGTGTGGCTTGAGGCAGGCACGACCTTGGCAAGATTTGCGAGCCAAAGCAGCAAGCACTCTTTCAAGTCGGACATTGTCACCAGAATGAGTCTGCAAAGTTTCAATGCCTGAGTACAAAGGAGACACCACCATAGCCAAGAAGACCAACCGCCGCTGAGACTCAGCAACACCACGGGTGAACCAAAACTTGCGCATGATTGCCCAATTTCGCTACTCACTACTGCTCACTACTACTAACTACTACTAACTACTAACTACTAACTACTACTACTACTACTCCTGCTACTACTACTACTACTACTACTACTACTACTACTACTACTACTACTACTAACTACTACTAACTACTACTGGCTACCACTACTACTACTACTACTACTACTACCACGACTACGACTACAACTACGACTACTACTGCTGCTGCTGCTGCTACTACTACTACTACTACTACTACTACTACTACTACTAGGGCCCTGGAAGTTTCCCAGTGGAAATGATTTGAGTTGTATTATTAGTTGGGCACGGGTCTCCTGATGAAAGCATTCGCTTCGGACAGAACAGTAAGACTTGGCGCTGAAGGACTTGTACTATGGGCTGAAATACACAACGAGGGTGATGTCAACGTGGTTGTTTTGAAATGTCATGGTGGGGATCACTCGAAGTCAAGTAATTTACAAATCGGTTATCTTTGTAATAATTGTTTCTGTTTTGTTGTTCTTAAATGTGCTGACTGTATTTAGTGTGGGTTTATTAATCAGGGCGGGCACTTGGCTAACTGTATTTCGGGGCCCTTTATCAATCATAGGTCAAATTAGATTATTCAAGCCAAGCATTCTGAAAACATTGCTATCGTCTCGTCACAAACAATCAGCTGGTGTGAGGCTGGGCACTGTACCTGTAACCCTGACAGTCACATACTTCCTTTCAGATCCCAACACCCCCCAGTGTTCAGATTAGATTTGACAAGGAAAACATTTCAACCAGTTTGCAGTCTGCAGTTGTTATTTGCATCAACCATTTCCTTGTGCATCGACGTTGGACGAACTCCTTCATTTGCCCAGTGTTCCTTTGCGGCGAGATTCTTCATGTGAACAGCACCAAGTCTTCCTTGGCTCAAGGATGGTAGAATAGTATCTTACAAATTGTGCTGTTGAGTGGCACCAGGTGTCAGGCATCTCTTCAATTGGGCCATCTGCTGAACAATGCCTGAAACAATGATAAACAATGAACAACCGCGGCCACCAAGTTTCTTGGCAGAGGACCAACCAAAGTTCCAATTGTCGAATCCAGCAGCGCAGTCGTAAATGTGTTTCACCTGACGTGAACACAAAGTGTGGCCGGGTAAAGGACAATAGCAACCAAATTAATATTATTATTGTTGAAAAACACAATGCTACACTGCTGGATTCTTTTCTGTGTTTGCTGAAGACTCAAAGTCATGGCAGAACACAAAAATATATCAACATGCCACATCCTAATGATGTTCACAATCCACACCAACTAAACCGGGCAATTTTCCATGCCCCCAGAACCCGCAATGTAAAGCCTTTGGCCCCAACAAGCCTGGACATGTTTGGTCTTGTAGATGACCTTGTGGCGCACCACCTCAAGAAGAGTGCTGTATGGCACATGTGAACTCAAATCCAGTCCTTATTATGATTATGCGTGTTAAACTCTTGAGCTTGTCGAATTGGAAACGGAACAGGACGCAGCAGAAATAGTTGATAGTGTTCACCTGCATGTGTCGGAGGGGTCAAAGGATTTCATGAGCTTGACACGTGCTCCGAGGCCCTCGCGATCAGCATCATGCAGCTGGCTCACTCTGTGGTATGAGCAGGTCGGGAGGGCACTGAGACATAACCAAACACACAACGAATGAGTCGGATGTGGCAGTGAGGACGTACAGCGTGACTTCGGCAGGGAATTTCACCCTAAAACTGCAAGCCAGCTCGAGGTGCACGCTTCCATAAGAACCCCACCGACCCCAAAGAACAGCGCCGCCAATGAAAAGTTATGCATAGACCCCAATCAGCTTAGTCGGCAAGAATTGTTGTTGTGGTGGTGGGCGGCCGCAGCCCCAGCCCCTGCCTTGCAAAGCAACCGAAACAGCACGACAGCAGCAGGACAACAGAAAGACCATGAAAGACCAGAGGAGGCAACATAGGACCGAAGGATGAGGACAAGCTGTGACCGGACAACGCCAAAAGGACAACAGGACAACATGAGGGGAGCACCACAAGAGGAGAACAAGAGGAGAAGCGGAAGAAGAGGACAAGAGCCACAAGAGAAAGACAAGACGACGACGGGAGGAGTGAAGAAGGACAACAAGAAGGCAATAGAAGAACATGAGAAGGACAGGACCGAAAAAAAGGTGACAAGAGGAGAAAGGAGGACATCTGGACACGGCTCACCGGCGCGGCCTGACACTCTGGTCAGCTTCATATTCCTACCACAAAAAAAGAAGAGGACAACAGGAGGACAAGGACAGGACTCGGCTTCTAGGGTTGTTGTCTTACTAGTGCCTCACTGCCTCACTGCTTAATGTGCGATCCTGATTAGTAAATAGGCCCCCCCCCCCCCAAACAAACAGGTGGTCCTCCATAATAAACTATCACCAAAACAAATCTGGATTCCTGTGAGAATTCCTTTTTGTAATTGATTGTAGTATTAATTTTCCTTTCATAGATTGTATTCAGCTTCTTTTCTCAGGTGCTTTGTAATTGTTCTCAGCAATCCTGTTGCTTTGCAGCCTCAGATCTTCAGCTCAAGAGAAGCCCCAAGCTTTCAGCTTGTGCTAATTAGTTAGTAATTGTTGAAGAAACCTAGCTAATGAATCATAATCATTGGCCTCAGGAGCTAAGTAAAGGAAGATTCCACGCGCATTTCTTCCAGTGGGAAAAACTTTTCACAATTCAGGACCCAAAAACAAATTTATTGTTGAGGATCAGGTGCCTTCCTGGTCTACTACCTTGAACATTTGTTT